TMSYSGGKTTCGTGGTGAATTCGAGAGTGGAYTGTAAGTGATCAATACCATTAATAATAAGTCCTCATGGTACAAAACCTTTCAATGCACAATCGTGCTGTTCCTCATGATATTAAAGCCTCATAGTTTCCTAGCAACGAAGTATCTGTCCAGATATCATTTAAGGAAGTACGTAGTCTCGTTCTTAAAAACACTGTTGATAAAAGTTATCTCTTCCACCATGTGCGCTGTCGGTAGTTATCATGACTAAAGATCTAAAACAAATTTCTAGTTAACTCTCAATATTACGGACACCCTCTTATTTTGGACACTTAAATAATCCCCGCCCAAAAGAAATTACTAGAATTAATTACCTTTACATCAAGCACTTACAACCTATCGCCGTAATGACACCCTGGTACTTACGGTCGAACCTCGTTATTATGGACAATTGATAATTCCYGCTCCAAAGAACTTACTAGAAAGTTATTTAACTCCCATTCCAGTGATACTTAGGTAAAAAAACAATAAAGTGAATTGAAGATACAGTCAAGCTTYGCTTTTCGGACATCCCGATGATGCAATGGTCACCCGAATGCAACGGACACCCGGATGCAACGGACACCCGGATATTACGGACACCCCGATGTTACTGAGACTCCGAGATGTAAAAAGAATCTTGAYCGTGGTGCATRAGCCTTAATTTATACCGAGTCATTATGCATGGACGAAGAKGAATACACTGCATTCTCCGTCAAAAACACAGACAGCCMGTTTCCGATCAAACGATRTAATCAAAGTACTTTCCAAATACATCCGTCTTCTGATGAACATTAAATACATCAGCCCGTGCATGCGCTCTAGGAGCGCCATTKCAAATGTAACAGATATTATAGTTATAATGGTTTCAATAGATGCTGTAAATATCTAATGACGACGAATTGTCACAATCCTTTCAATACGTTAGTTTATCTCAAGAACTAAATGTAAACTAGTATCCTATGGAGAACCAACTAAATATAATGTCTTAGTTCATAAGCTGACTTTCTATTTACTTAATTCTGATAGCTAAATAGCACGAAGATTCAACAATGTATTTAAATACATAATAAAGATAAAGATTAAAGAAAGTGCGTGGCTTAAGTTTACAGTAATTGAAAGAATATGAGCGTCTAAGTAACCAAACGAACTTAGAGGCTTCATAAGGTACCGAAAAGCTGTCTTTTAGAGACGACCTGTCTAACAATTGTAGTTACAATGTTTMGAAGTCTGGCAGATCTTTCGGTAGAGGGATAGAGATTAGGGTTAAATAGTAGTTAAGATCTTTTARATATCTTAAGTTAATAACATCTTTTTGTGACATATGACACTTAAGCCTCAGACGTCGAAGTTTTTTTTGTACGGCAGTAAGTAGAATAGAGATAAGCAAACCCTGAAGGTTAGTGCAAAAAAGCATTTACTTATTGGAATTAGTAGCAGACAATATATACTCAATTCAGGAGTCACTTTTCTTCTGTATTGAAACCACAACGTGCTGTCATTATTGATATCWGGATGCTCATCGAGGTAAAAAGAGCAAGAATTGCTTTCGAGTTGAAAGGAAAAAAAAGGCAAAACAGATGGCATTTTATATTAAATTTACTTGGTAGTGTCAAACTTGATATGTTTCGCAGCATATGGTGTTTAGTGTACGATCTGAAGTCTCACGTTCTATATTCGTATTTGTGCGCAGTTGATTTTAATGAATTAATAGTTGTTGCGTTAGTTTTCATGATAAATTCATCATCGTACATTAAACTGGTTGGGGAAATGGAGTTGTGTGGAAGCCTAAAGCACTTAAATGATGCAGAGATGATGTTGACGATACCAAACTGGTTATAATATCTATTAACTATGAATCAGTTTTGTTGTATCAAATAAATCATAAAATTCAGCAAATTGAAATAAAGTTGTCAGGTTCGAAAAGTTGATATCATCGAATCTTAGGCCGAAGAGAATTTTGGGTACGCAGAAATTTGTATCACATTTGCCTAAAAAGGGATACATTAAACGATTTTACCGATGCAATACACTTTGATTAAATAATATCGTTTTATTTATCTACAGGTTTAAGCATGAACTTTTCCAATACTTCAAAGCCCTTGGACCTTTCTTGCTCAATGAGGCCCAACAAGGCCACTAAAATTGGACTGACATGCGCAAATCTGGTCATATTTATTGCCGCCATTGTTGGTAACGTGATTGTCATTTATTTGGTTAAGAGTAGAACAAGACTGCGAATATCTTTTAATTATTTTATTCTGAGCATGGCATGTGCAGACCTTCTACACGCATCTATGGGGATACCTTTGGAYTTGACGTTYCTTTACACAGGTATACCGTATTGGAAACGTACACTACATAAAACTTTGATCATAAAACTATGGTTTTAAAAGTTAAATTAGTKAAGTWTTTGTGTAATCTTGATTAAAACTTGCTAGGGAATGAAAAAGAGCGKCYGGAGTTGGCGAAAAGAYKCAAARGAGGAACTTGCATGRGCGAAGTATCTATCGCCCCCATGTAATAGAATCAAGAATACTCCAAGCGCAGTATTCCGGATTCCAAAGAATGTGTATTTTGGATTTCAAAATTTTTGCTGGATTCTGGATACCTAAAATTTAGATTCCAGGACACGGATTTCGGATTACAAATCTGTCTTTTTACTGGATCCCGGATTCTCTTATATATACTATGTTGGTCAAATCGGTTTCTGGGTGTGCTGATCGATAGAACGCAGGTTTAATGCTTTAAGTCYGAGTGGGATAGAGTATCAATTTGTAATATTGATTTTYTATTWCCAGGCACTTTATGGTTTAATGGACCTTTTGGTGTGTTTATGTGCAAGTTTATTCCATACTCCATTGTAGTGTCAGTCGTTGCTTCCATCACAACATTAACAGCCACAGCAATTGAACGATACTTGGCAGCAAAATTGATTCTAAAGAARCCCATCACTCCAAAAGTAGCTCAGATTGTAGTCGCGTTGATCTGGATTTACGCCCTTTTGATCTCCACACATGAGGTGAGTAAATGATACATGAATAAAAGATGTTCTTTCAGTATTCCAATGAAATTTTTAATATGATTTTAATAGCCTCCTTCAGGCTACTCCAACACAAACGGACTTTCTTCTCTTCTTGGTCTTCCTGTGTTCATAATCCCCACAGGAATCCCACAGAGTAGAGTTGCCTGTGAARGAGGTTAAATCGTTTCCAAGTTTGTCATCTTTTTTGTGTGTATTTTATATCTTTTTTTACACTGTTGACATGTTTTAGGTGATCAAGTTTAACGTGATCATCGTGAACAAGACGACGCCACACTGTTTTCCTGTACTCGAGGACTGGGTTGGTACAAACACCATCGAAATGACCATCAAGTTTGTACTCATGTATTTGCTACCATTATTCACCATGGCAACGCTCTATGCTCATATCATCTGGATGTTAAGACAACACAGCGGGTCAAGCTTGCAGACGGAGCAGTACAAAAGCATCCAACGACGAAAGAAAAACCTTACAAGAAAGCTGGTCATGATCACCGTTATCTTTGCAGTTTGTTGGCTTCCTGTACATGTCAATCACTTTCTTGCTACTTTTGATTATGCTCTTTTCACGTGCATCCCGTCTCATTGGCATTTAGTGTTCTTTTGGCTTGCRCATGCCAATACTGCCATTAACCCTGTCCTGTATCTGCTYYTGACCAAAAACGCGCGGGCGCTTTTTAAATCAAGCGTTCATGCCGCAAAGGGTGATGGGAACGACAACGGAAGTAGACGTTCCGGAAGTCGAAAGCTATGGATGTTTCAAAGGTTTCCGAGTGATTCCCGATTACTGACGGCTTGCGTGTCTATACAAACAAGCGAGGATGAGGARAAAGGACATGAGATGAACTTAATTGTAGAGCCAGCAATGTAGAGGAGTTTAGTTGGATCAACTTGTAAATAAGTACAGCGGACATGTCAAATGATACATATTATACAAGCAAAACTAATTTAAATTCGAGCCGAAGCCGAGTTAGCAAAACTCGGTATTAAAGATCTGATTTATAGCGGACAAGTAAAACACAAAAACTAAAGCGAAACAAGACAAAGCAATAAAATTAACGAAAAACGATGATAAACACAGCCAAATTTGATAAGATAAAGTTGTATCAAAATTGTAAATAAGTATAGCAAACATATGAAACGAAATCCAAAAGTATTAAACCAAAGAAAAATCATTAAAATTAACACTAGAGAATGTCTGAAGTCAGAAGCAATTTTTTTTCGGAATGATCAATAACCGTTTGCTCGACCACCACACCAAAACAACTGGACTCACATTCCCGTAAATAAGAACTTTAGCCCTTAGATGCATGCACGCGTGAAACACTAACTAATGTGTAATACTACATAAACAATAAATACAAAGAAAAAACAATCAAAATAAACAAGTAAAGTTTACTCGAGTTTACAAGCTAGTTCACTGATATGACGTACTCTATCAAGCACTTCATTAGCGTTGCGCGGTACGATTCACGGGTTAAGTGACGCGACATAAAAAAACTAATGAAAATCGGAATTATAAAGGCAGTCGTTAAGGACACTATATAAACCCTGGTAGCCACACTGTCAATCACGAGTATAATTCATTATTTCACATGTCCAACGTCGCTTAATAATGCTCAATATCGCCATATGTTGCGCATTCTTCACCCTGATTAAAACCGAAAACTCTCTAAGTTAATCCTAATGCGAATTTAAGCCGACCTGAATCAATAYATGATGTTGATTTATGTAAAACAGTTGAGGAAAGAAAGCCAAAAACTAATCTAATACCAGAAAACGTAATTTGGAAAGATACAGTATTGACACAAGTGAATAAATATATCGTTATGATTCAAAARACAGAACTTATCTAGATATCAACATTGCATCAAATTTCACTTCGAAACATGACGATGCGTTACAARCCTATGTAGCATACAATCGTAGTGCTGGCCAGTTTCACGCGACATTAACATAAACGCAAGGGTGCTTTTATGCGGAAACGTAAGTACAATCGTAAGAGTGCTTTTTTACSAAACGTAAAYTTCTCTAGTTATAAACCTTGCATCCCTTCGCGGACGTAGTGCTGCGTAAAAATCCAGTTTTCACGCGGCGTAAGCACAAACGCAAGTGTRTTTTCACGYGGAAGCGTACGCACAAACGTAAGAGTGTTCACTTTGAAATTGGATGTAATCAGATAAGAATCATAACTTGTACTTTAAAGAGGTTCAAAGTRCTTATTGATCACCGATTTTCTCGATTCAAACCGTAAAAACTATGTCATATCYCAACTTTCTTTGAAAGGTTCATAAACATTGTGATATATTTATCTATTATTAAGACGCAAATTTAAACACGATCTAGTTCCTTTCTGATTGCTTGGATCTATAATAAGGCCAGCTTAACATTAACTTYAATTAGTGCGTTGGCATAATTTTAAAGTAATTTTATTACAATTCCTAGCAATGATATTTTAACATCTTGACATTTTACTAAAAAATAAGTCAATCATGATCAGGCTCGTTTTCATTACACCCACCTTTTGTTAAGGTGTCATACAAAAGTTATTTATTACATATTACAAAGTTTATTATTGGATGGTCAGCATGGAGAAACTCGAAGGGCAGGTGCGTGTCCTTAACGACGCAAACACCACTGACAGTGACTGATGAGGTCTCAGATTAAAGAGAAATTCGTCTACTTTTAACTAGTCACTCCGAGACGACATTGGAGAGGCGATTTCTGTACAGTGACAGTTCGACCGTTGTTTTCTGCAGTCAGTCTAGCTTGTTTTTAAAGTTCAAGAGTGATTCTTACAAAAGGTAAGAAATAATTCATTTTGGACAAAAATTTATTTCGCCACAGGGTTCACCAATATTACATCAGAAAAAATAACAGGTAGGGATAAGTAATTCAAAAGCGGTCTTATTTCGTTAAAGASTTTAATTTGAGATCAGAGCGCTCTCTTTTCAAGTCCTGTAGAATTTATTGTTCAGACACGTTCAAAGAAGGAAAATTAGTTGGAAACGTAAAAACTACAACTCGACACAAACTAATTGAATCAAATTAGAACAGAATATTCGATGCGTTGTTTCTAATCATAGAAAAGTGATTTGATGTTTTTTAGTTTAACTGATTTTAAGAAAGTATGAAAACGAAATTAATAAAAGAAACGTGGAAAATACTGGAGAAAACGAAAATAAGAAAATGATGAATAAGAAAACGAAATTAATGAAAAGTAAAAGATTGATTGTAGATGATATAAACAGTCACCAAGGGGTAATACTTATTCTAGTCAATTCGATCGTTTGGTATCCATGTAATCAGAAAATTGAGACACTTTGCGATTTGCCGCTCAATGACATCATCTGAATAATATTTGAAGTACCCTTGCGTATGATTACAATTAAGAGATTAAGGCAGGTGCTTGTTTTCAGCACGGTTGTTTTAAAGTACGTGTYAAACCTAAACACTGAAAGCCACCCAATTAGATTAACACTATCCACTATAGTACATTAGACAACACAATATTTTAGCCACTTTTTTAATGTTATTGGATGTTAGTGTGGGCTGCAAGTGTTGTTAGTGGCACGTTGCATCAAGTCAAAAGATGTCACTTTACTTTGTCACTGTAAAACCACCAATAACTTGCTTAGCAATTAAAAACGTTGGATGGTATTGAGCAATCAAAGCTCTCAAATCAAAAGAAACTAGTATACGATTTTTCAATTTATCTGATAACAAAAGTCTTAACTATTAATTACTGAGTACTCCATGTCTGATAGAAAAGTTAATAGCTCTAGGCTTGATGTGACCCTTTCAGAKTATTCCATTTGCAATTGGTCAGTTTTCATATGAGAAAGGAGCTATGCCATTAAACAGTGATATCAAAACATTTGCCCGTATTGTGTTAGTTCACAGGAAATTCAAAGAATAGCTACTTTGCCAACGAATCAAATGGATGGTGTCAGAAATGGGATGGTTACCAACTGCCCTTAAAAGCACACAAGTAAACGRCAAGAATTAACATCACAAGACATTGAAGTCGGTAGAAGCGTGTCATCTTATCGTACAACCAATTACACAACGTCTTATTGAGTGAAAGGAATCGGTGAACAAATATAACCTTAAGCATYGAGAAAAAAGTTAAAGCTGAGCAAGTACTGAGTCAACAACAAAACGAATCACGTCAAGTAGCAAGTCGATGCTCTTCTGGGGTCAACAGCGGAGATTAAACTGCACAGTTTGGTAACTAATGTTTCAAGATTAACAAACGGTATTAGAACAGTGTATGCTATACATAAAATACAGTTGAGTACTGAAGAATTAACACTGTTTACGCTCTCATAACACGCAAGACCTTTCTTGGAAATAAGAAAGGAAAGTTTAAGGTGGATTATTATCAAACAAGATATACAATTCATACGTAAAAGTGGATATTATTTGCAAGACTTTAAACAGAAAAGGTTAATAATTCATCAAAAACATCAAATCAAGGTCAAGAAGCTTATAAACCGATAAGATGTCTTCATATCTTCCTTCTAAGAACCAGAGTCATTTTATGTCCCTAAGGACAAGGAGTCAGGGGATTATAATGACCGAAACGTTAGTCTATTGCCTTTTAATATCAATGGCCTTGATAGGAAATTCCCTGGTCCTTTGGATTGTATACAAGAATAGGTCCCTAAGGACCATTCCCAACTATTTTGTCATATCATTAGCATGTACCGACATAGGTATGGCYCTGTTTGGTACACCTTGGACCATAGGGGTCCTTGCTACAGGAAAATGGCCCTTTAGTTTTGCGGCATGTCAGTTCCAGGGTTTTATTGTGATCTGGCTGGCGGTTTCTTCACTACAGAATCTAAATATAATGGCCATTAATCGRTACTGTCGTATTGTCAAGCCTAATGTATATAGGCGTATATTTACTCCTACGAGAACAAGACTATRTATACTTGGTGCATATTGCATCGCCGCGGYGTCACCCATGCCGTATATTATCGGAGGGAATGTCTTTACGTTTCAACCTGGCAAAGCGTTTTGCTATCAAGAAAACATGGCGGCTTATACGCTTCAGTTAATGCTAATAGCAATCGGAGTTCCTACTTGTATAATCATTCTGTGCTATTTCCAAGTATTTGTAGCTCTTAGAAAACACCAGAGAAATTTACTGAAGTCGAAAATGCGGTCAAATACTCAGCGAATCACAGTCGAGGATATTCGAATTACCAAGACRTTGTTCGCRACTGTTGTGGGGTTCCTGTTGTGTTGGATGCCTGTWCTYGTCATTGAATTAGTTGACCTTGGCATTGACGATTCTGTAATACCAAGACAGGTTCATTTAATGTTTTTAATGTGTGGGCTGTCGTCATCGGTCATTAAYCCCGTGATTTATGGAGTTATGAATAAAACATTTCGYAGGGAATATAAAAAAGCCTTTACATGCGGTAGGATGTCCGAGGTACAYCCATGTGCCCAGTCTACCACAGACAGATCAAGAACAGGGCGTGCTCTACCAAGAGAAATGGAAACTTTGTATTAATGAACCCCATTCACACGGGATTCCTGTGYTCTCAGAAGGCCTGGTTTMCAATGTGCCATGTTAATCACTGTTACCRTACTTCGGCTCCAACGAATTTCTTAAAACTTTGCCAAAATATTGTCCTAAYCCTATCTAAATGGATCCTAAAAGTTTCATTAAAGTAAACTCGCCAATTCGAATTTCTGTGAAAAACAGTGCATATGTTGACTATTTCAGTTACATAAAATGCAATCGTGATATGCAAAGTATAGGTAAAAGACAGTTTCAGATATTTGTCGAGTAATTAGTTGACAGTAGCCAATGTTGTGACTCATTTAAATAGTGCATTATTGCGTCACTTTAATTCTTGGCTTTCACTGATCACGTGATAGTCTAAAAAAGCTATTTAGAGGCAGAATTAGCAAACTTTTATTAATGTTCTCGAGAGAACATCTTAATTCAAGGATCATGACGAAATTTAGAGCCGAAATAATGAATTTAAACAGAAATACGAGCGATCGAAAATTGGTAAGAATTAGCACGGCTCAATGCGTTTTGGACTGATCAAGAAATGCCTACAAAAAGCTTTGTTTTAAGATTCAAATTAATTTTTTAAGTTCAAGGATCAAAAAAGTATATAACTCCCAACAGTTATGCAAAGTTTGAATCAAAACTGTGATTTCCTAGCAAAAATATAAGCGTTTGAATACGGTCTTACTTTACAAAGAAATGTATGGGGCCGCCATGATTGTGTCCCCGTCAGGGGCTTCAAAATGGCGGACCGTAACTCCGAGTATC